ACTGTCGTAGATACTCCGCCTCTATCGCGGCTCGCTGGACAGACATGGCTGCTGCGCCGGACTGTTGTGGGTTTGACGCATGGTAGATAGTCATTTTATGAAAACAATTTATCATTTACTTTATTTCAGTGTACCTACTCCATGAAGGCATATGAGCCGTGGCAAGACGTGACGCCTGTTAAATGGCATCTGGCGCGGCATTGCAGTCTCTCATATGTGCTGCCCCTGAAGAGATCAGGATGCTGTGCCGCTAGACATAGAGACTTCAACGTGGATAAGAAGGGAGCACCGGACACTCGCATGATGCGCGGGGCAGACCATCGTCAGGCTGGGCGATAGTGAAATTCGAAAAAGGGGCCCTGCAGGACAGCATAAGTATTCAGTACTCACTGTATCAGGACAGTGTCATATAAGAAAAATTGTAACCATTTTGCATAAAGACATGCTTGATTGCGAAGCGATTGTTCACAATTGATATTGATAGCAACAGTTTACGAGCATCTTCATTTGAGCGACTTGAAGCTACAAATTAGTCTTCATTGTGTAATGCTGGCCCTAGCTTTCAGCTTATTCATTTCCATTGAAATACATCATTTATTTTGTAATACAGCTTTTGCTGAGTAGTGAGTACTGGCACAAACACATTTTCAATCGTCATACGGCTAATCCAACGAGTCCCACACAGCATTTCACCCATCAATAACCGCTATTTTCAAACTTCATAGCTTATTGAATGGCAATCTGTCTTTTTATTGATATTTATGACAGGTATTAATTGAAGTTATGTTCGGTTTAACAGCCCCCAAACTGCCGTTGGACGGGCGGCCGTTGAATGAGGAGAGGAACATATGGCTGGGCCCGATGTCGTTAGCTGGGCGCGACAATTTCATGTCCGGCTCTGAACGGGCACGCCGGGCGGAACCGGCGGCCGGCGCGACAAATTGTAATGAAGTTATCACATCGAGGAGCCAATGTGTCCAACGGACGTCTGTGACGCCGGCCGCGGTGGATGTTCAACCCTCGCAATGGGGTCGTCTACCCTACAACCATGTGTACTTGACTTCAGAATCGATGCATTTGTTTTCATGTATGCATTGAAAAGTATGACAGAAACATATTAAGCCTGATCTAACTAATAAGTTCGCTGGCATGCAGCCTGTACTTTTCCAGAAAGACTCACAAACCCTTAGCCTCTTCAATATCGGAGCAAAATCTACTCATTGCGATTATGTAGCATGCTTATGAGAAGTCGTACAAACCATTGGACTAAAACTTCGCCGTTCTCACAGGGATCGACACCGTATAGCTTACAGCACCGGGCGACCACCGCAGCTTACGCACCACACCACTCAACACCGTACGCACATTATTTGCCCGTCGGCGGCGGCTTTTCACACGTCGCCTGCCGGCCGCACCGACCCGCCGGCCGACCAGCAATCCCGCTGTTGACATAGGGCCGAACTCAAATATTTCGGACCATATCCACACGGGCAATCTAGCGTTATTACACCCCAGTGCAATATCGTTGGTCCAAGGGCGTCATATTGTTTTGCGAGTGTTTGCTCTCGTCTCTACGTAGCGCTGGGGTAATATCCGACCGGAATGGCCCAGAGCGGGGTGGGGGCCGCGTGCGGCGGACCGTCACCGCTGTATGTGATCCGCGTGTCAGGATTTATCACAGTGTCGCCAGCGGTGAACACGGCGCGGCTTATAAACCGACACGATTGGACTTTGGGGGAGTTAGTGGATACGAGCTGAGAAACGGTGGCGGCGGTGGCAGAGGCAGCAGAGCGGTGTGAGGTGGGGGAAGTGGTGGATAGAGATGGGGGAAGTGGTGGATAGAGATGAGGGAAGCGATGTCTAGAGGTGGGGAAGTGGTGGATAGAAGTGGGGGAAGTGGTGGATAGAAGTGGGGGAAGTGGTGGACAGAGATGAGGGAAGTGGTGGACAGAGATGAGGGAAGCGATGTCTAGAGGTGGGGAAGTGGTGGAGGTCGGCGGGGAAACGGCAGTGGCGTCGGTAGAGGCGGCGCAGAGTAATATTGGTCACTGTGATGATGTTGGTGACATTGGTGGTGGTAGTGGCGTAAGTGTAAGCTGGACAAGTAAGCTGGACACTGGTCAGCAGCAGCAACTCATTCTGTGAGCCAGCTGTCGCCTCTGAAAACAGCACACAGTCCGCAGCTTGCCTAAGAAACTGCTATAACACCTACGGCGACAATCCTTCAGAAGCTCTACAGCTTCTGAGCACGGCCGGTAACGCTGGCTCCAACGGCGGGTGTGGAGTGGAAAGCACGCCATGTTACGCTATCCTCTGCAGAAGCTGCAGTAGTGACGGTTGGGTTGGCAGCTAGCTGTGTCGCCCTTGAACTATTAGGCGAGGAGCTGCAAGCACAGGCACAGCGCGAATAAGAAAAAAAAAATACTGAACTTGTTTCCAACGTACGTTGATTTAGGCACTTAACGTTAACTATGACATTTACGGAAACGAGCAAAATAACCGAATAATTTTAATGACATGAATAGGGGTAATAATCGGCGGATTAGAAAAGGGAAGAGAAGGATTCAACAGAAAATCGTGGACAGGAAGCCAGGCTTGCGACTACGGCAGGTGAAGCTGACAAAGGGGACGAGTGGAATGAGAGAGTGGTATGAGAGGGTAGAATGGGGAAGAGCGAGAGTGGGGAGTGCGCGGCCTCTGGCACACATCAATTACAGACGCAACAATATATGTCTCGATGAGCTCATATTATCCATGATACCATAAGCACGGTTCAAAACAAGGTCGTTAAATTTGTTTGTACACCTGCTGAATCGGCATATTAGCCAGTAATGCCGTCATTAGAGTGTCAATAGGGCGCGTTGTGAAAAATGGCGCCAACTGACGCAGTCAACACGGAAACCTCCTGATGTACGGCAGGAGGAAAGAGGAAATGCGAGAGAGAGAGAGAGAGAGAGAGAGAGAGGGGGGGGGAGATGACCGAGGGACGGTAACGGAGGGGTGACACAAAGGAAAAATAATGAGGGAGGGGTTAACAGCTGAGATGAATTAAAACAGACGAAGGCTAAGTGACGATTTTTACCAAGCAGTAAGCATGCAATATGAATCTTATATTATATAGGTACAAATTACGGCTACAGTTGTTCTAGCTGAAATAGAACAATCCGTACATGGTTTTAAAATTGCGAGCAGCTTTAGACCCATATGTTCTAAAATACTAAACTATTCCATTTTTTAAACAGTTGACAAATTCACGGCCTGTGTTTCTTCTTGGACTGGCAGTAGCAGCTGCATCATCTTCTCCAGCTTCACTAAACCTATTGCTATAGGTACCATTGTCCATAGTAGCAAATAAAATGTGGTTTGCTTTGGTCTGATAGCTTTTATGGCGGAGACCCACCAGCCCAGGGTGCATGTAAACAGCCTCGGGCTGCTTCGTGCTCCCGAACTGCCTGACCGGACGAAATGACGGGACGAAATGACGCGACAAAATGACGGGACGGAATGACGGGACGAAATGACGGGACGGAATGACGACCGGAGGATCGATTGAAATGACGGATGGAATAGACCAACTGAGACGACCGGTACAGACCTGCAGGCTTTGACATTTGAAAGCGAAAATTTGTCTGACACTAGCCAATGGGTTCAATAGAATTTTGGCACCAACAATACATGTAATGGCAGAAAAAAGCGCGCAGAGTTTCATCAACACTTCTTATCGAATAAAAGAACAGAAGCATGGTGAACAGAAAAAAACATTGGTGAAAATGAACACAATGTGCTATGAAACATAATTCGACACAGAGAGTTATAAATGATTTAGCGGAACAGAATCGACGTAGGATGACCGACGCCAGGATGTCGACCATGGGTTTTCCTCCGTCCGCTGGCTGATTTCTCCAGTTCAGCGGCCGTCGCAGAGCTGCTAACGGTCCGACCGCCGCCGGCTGCAGCTCCGCTCAGCCGCGTTTGCTCTCAGTTTGGTAATTATTTGCCTTGGCTGGAACGCATTACGCTATGAGGAAAGAGTCATTCTTGTCAAACAAGGTGCTGACGGAAGGCGAGGCTGAGAAACTTTGAGGCTGCCGCCGTGGTCAGGCCAGACGACCGAGCCGATGATGACGCTGTGATAGAATCATTACGACAAACATATTGCTGAATCGGATTGGCTAAATTTTATTATTCTTTATATCGGGCTCAACACAGCTCTCAACACTTTTAGCATTCAACTGTCAGCTTAACTAATTGTATTATGAAATCACTGCCGAACAAGCTTAGCGTTGCTATAGCCACCATGCCATCTTGCTGTAATGTGACGGCTTTTCTGGTGTGTGATCTGTCCTTTTCCCCGGCCCCGTTCATTGACCGCACGCCGGTGCGCTGGCTGGCTCTGCCTCCACGTGCTAGGCCGCGCTACCCTCAGCCGGCGAGACAAGACAATCGTTTCCATGGTCCGTCGGCCGGCGGCCGGGAGTGCATCTATTTATACCGTGCCCGGCGGCGGCTCGGCCCGGCCCGGCTCCTAACCTGCACTAAGGCCACCGCTCGATCCTGGCCGCTGCCGCAGCGCCGGCAGCGCCGGAGCTGAGCCGCTGAGACTGACGTGGCCCGCTCAACACCTTCCCATCACACCCGGGCCGGGGGCATCAGTTCGCAGCGCCGACCGGACCCCCGACCGCGGCTCCGGCGGCGGCCCGTCAGCGGCGGCGGCCGCCCCTCCCGCCACCCACCGACCGGCCCACCATCGAGCCCGGCCCAGCTCCGCCGCGCCTGCAATTCATATCGGTGGGCAGTCCACTGCGGCCGCCGCCGACCTATCGGCCGCCCGGACCGCCGCCAGGCGCCTCCCACTCACCTGGCCGGCCGCTTATCATCTGCGTTATGACAGGTTATGGGCCGAGGCTCCGCCCCCCGCGATATGATATGATATTACCTGCGCTGCGATTCGGCGGCGGCCGGCGGGCGGGCGGCGGCGCGCGGCGGTGGCGCCGGTCGGCTCAGTAGTCGGCCGGCCGGCGCGGAGGCAGTGTCTCAGAGCAGCAGCGGCCGCCGGCAGCCGCCCGAGCGAGCCGAGCCGAGCGCACACAGTCGGGCCGGGTCAGACGGGGTCACCGAGGTCGGGTCATGTCGCGGCGGAAGCAGGCGCGCCCGATCCGCCACCTGGACTCGGAGGAGCCGCCGGACCTGCCATTGGGCAATGGTGAGTACCCGAGGCCGGACTTTGTGCCGGTGAGGGGACGGTCGGGCCGGCCGGGACGCCGTCGGGGCTGCCGTCACAGCATGCGGTCGCTGATGTGATGACGTGCCAGTGGATGTGCGATGTGATGCGATGTTGACAGATTCCGTACACGATTTGAGAGGCCGATGTGGGTGTGTTGTCGCTCGTCCGCCGCTGAAAAACTGAAACATTACAAACCCTCCAGACAGCTTGCTGGTTGAGCTACTGGGTGGCAAATCGGATTGGATTGGAATATCTTTTTCATTATATCTACGTGTGCTATGAACGGTTGGCGAACTATGACTGATGCCTCCTTATTTTCGTGTGGATGCTGAAAAACTTCTGGAAAGCCTCCTAAATACAACTATATCAGAAAAGCAAATGCTGTGCTGATAGGTTATTAGTATGAAAACATTTACATAACTGCTGAAAGCTTGATGCTGTATGATACCGTATGATTAAAAATTGTTTGCCCAGGTAGGCAATGATCTCTTTTGCAAGCATCATGAGTTGGCATTATTAGTTTTTTGATGACTGGAAGAGCGCTGGATTTGAAAGAGTAGACTGAATCGCCTGTCCATTTTTGATGCTGGGCATATGATGAGAAATATGAATTTCAATCCGACATCGAAAAATGTGTATTCAGCCAATCTCTTACAATTATTTGTGTTGTTTTATTCAAAAAGGAAACATGCCACATATATTCAAGGGCTTTAGCATCGAGCCATGCGGATGTTTATTGATGATTGGAAAACGGTGGGAAAACGGGCCAAGCTGTTATGTCCGTCCTATTTCAACTGAACTGATCCGCGTGTGGAGTGCTCTCGGCTATATGCTACCACATCAAAACCAAGCTCATCTCATTAGATCATTCGATGAAGAGCTGCCACTGCTAGATAGTCATTCTCTTCAGATGGATCAAGCATCTAGACTCTGAAAGTGAATATTTGTCGAGGAATATGGCATTGGAAATAATGCAAAATAAATTATCTGCTGACATACGAGTATGTGTGATTATGTATTCAAATGCACCTCATCTCACGTGCAACGGCTAACCTGCAAATATGAGTCAATTATTAGCATTTGATTGGTTGCTCCTTCATGCTTATCGGGCGGTTTCGCGCTGCTGGCCAGATTTTTTTTTTATAAAAAGACATTCATATTTTTTATCATTGTTGTGATCTTAGTCGAAGTCTGAACGCGATCTACGGGACATAATGCTATATTTATATTGTATTTAGTCTAAACAAACCATTTTATTTTATTTAGACATTGCAAATCGCATATCCGTCGAAGATACATTCAGAAGTACACACATTCCCGGATCATAAGAGGGTTGCTTTAACATCTCTCTGTCATAGCAAAGCATGACTGAGTTGACGGTCACTTTTTTACGAAATCACATGAAGTCTAGTTTGCTGTAATGAGCTATGGTGATTTGACAAAATGTAAAGCAAAGTTCAAACAAAGAAGGTGTGCATTCTGTTGCGATTTCTTACACTATCCTCACATTACATAATATGATTGACGTTACTTGACATGAATGGATTGTTGGAACATCTACAGCGTCTTGAATGTTATGTTTACTGGTGCTATGAATACGGCCATATCGCAGCAATAAGATAATAAAAATAAAAACCATCATTTGTATTTAACGTCAATGAAAGGTATTCCCTATCTAAGAAAGGCGACCAGCAACCGTCGAAATTGTGCAGCTGGAGGAGCATTGTGATTCTGTTGAGTTTTTTTCTGTCTATCTGTCCGATTGATGTCCAGTAATGTTTGTATGGCCTCACTTTTCAGTTTATGCAAAGCTTGTGCACACCTATGTCGTTGGCTCACATGAGTTCGAATTATACTTGATGACTTTTGCAAAATAATGGACGTTTTCCGTTTCATTAAACAACATTGTATGAGACTGAATTTGGAAATAGTGTCTCGTCCTAACACAATTTTGCATTTAGTCATTTTTTGTCTTTTGATTTGAAACATTTTGGTATCTTGTTTAATTAGGTAGATGCAATTTTGAACAACTGTAACTCCGCTTCAACAACAGCTGTAGCTTTATCATATTTTTAGCATTTAAGATCGAAGCGAAATTCGTGCATGCAACTGTAGTTTTTATATAATTTCCCCCCATGAATGAAATTCATTGAAAATTTTTAACACAGTGCTGTCTTGTCTGCCTGACAAATGACTTAAACAAATTGGATCAAAATGGTCAAGATGTCATTAGGAGCCGCTGCAATAGATATTACCGTTTCTTGGCTTACGAGTATATTTTCCCTTCAGTTTCGAATTAAATCCTACCTTGAATGATAAAGTATTGCTTTTACAGAAGAGCATCTCTAAATTTTGCTATTGAAAGATCATGATTCAGCGTTTAAATCAATAACTGTTTTTAATCCTCTACAAAGAAAAAAATGGGGCAGAACTTACATTGTCGTCTCACATTTCAAAATGAGACAAGATATAGATGTTGGGTAGGACTTGGAAACGGTTATTGAAAATTTTATTCCTCATTTTCAATATCTGCAAATGCAGGTAAAGTAAATAAAATGAGATGTTGTCACACAACAAACACTTCCTAGGTTAATTTCAGGCATTTTATTGTTATATTTACTATTCTTGGCAATAATGGAATAATCTTTGAGCATTTTTGAATATGCTAGTTGAGTCATGCGATGTTGACAATTTAGCTGATTGCTAATTCCTGAGGAATCTTCAAGATTGTACAACACACATGGTCAGTGCTTTTCCTAATGAACAATCGGCATTCGGGAATCATACTTTGAACGATATTTGATTTGCACAACATAGCATCGGGTTCAATCAAATTATGCAAGTAATTAGTTATGTTTGCTTATTGCTGGCAGCCGCTTATCAGAAAACAGCACCATAAAATGAAACACGACAAAGGTGTTTCACAAACTTACAGGTATGTAAGCTAAAGAGCAGATTTGTGATGCAGCTGGGTGATGCGAGTCTGCTAAGGGGAAACGTTGCATCTGCTACAAGTCTTTGGTTGAAACATTAGCAAGCACCAGCAGGCAGCAGCATTGAGCGTCATTATACCAGCGTCATCCATCAAATAAGCTCCATACCTACTATGTTTCTGATTCCAATTACTGGTGCTGGCATATTGTGCTGTCACAGCAGTGCTCCCTCCCCGGCCGCTGAGACTGCACTCTGCTGGGCCCGACCACAGCTCTGCATCACGAGCCACTCGGCCGGGCTTCCCAGAACGGCATGGATAACGAGGCAGGTCGGGTCAGCCAGACGGGCTAAGCATTACCGACCACAGTGTGAATGCACGCTGTCACGAAGAATTTAATGGCCCCAGCTGATGGATGCCAAATTGCTGTTTACGGCCTCCATCCTGCACAAGTCAGCTAGCCTTGAGCAGGACGGGCTTTTTCTCACATTGAGTGGCTCTGTGCATGTGCACGGCACACACTAAAATCACCCGATACCCAACTCTGCCCCTCCCCCTCCCCCACCACGCGCCCGACCGGCCGCCGCCACTTTATGCCAGTGATCATACACGGTTTGTCCATTTTCTGGTGTCGTTGACACGAGAGATAGGCGTCGTGCGGGTCGTCATATTCATTGTATTATACAGGGCCATATTATGACCACTCTCATCTCCATACGGCCAACGCTGAGCCACGGCGGGCTGTCAAGGATGTCTCATGTCATAAAGGTGTCATCAGAGAGGTCACAGAGGATGGGATGCGTCATCAGAGGTCATGTACTGCAGAGGGTGTAAAGCTTAGTGTCAACAGAGGTCAGGCGCCTCAGAAAGTGTCAGCAGAGCACACATTCGCTGTGCTGTGTGCTGGATCTAGGCTGTGAGTGTGAACGCTGTCCATTCCATCCACTGTTATCCATTTTCGTCCAGTGTCCAGTGCTGATTGCCCATTGCACTGTCCAGCGCAGCCCAATATGCTGTCTAACGTTCAGCGTTGTCCACCACGATTTCGGCTACAGCCACCGCTGTACCGTGTGGGGATGCCGGCACGCTATGAGAAGCCGCAGGGCTCGTCCAGGAATTCAAATGAAATGATGAAAGCCATATTTGCTCGCTGACTGGCCGGGACTCGCTGTTTGCATTTCTTCAACGGGTGGAACGTGACTCATCGAACATATCCTGTCGACCCACGAAGTTGGGAGGGAAGAAACCACCGCCGGAGAGCACTTCTGAGAAAGTTGTACGAGTTGGTTCACCGTGTGAGGGTTTATTGTATGCAGAAGTTGTCGCCAAACATAAGCTGCCTCTTCAAAGTTCAGAACGTTTGAGGATCAGATATCAAATAGGAAATGCAACGAATAGTGCACCATACAATGTTTTAATCACTCAAACACCAATGAATAAGAAGTATATGATTGCAAAACTTATCAAACTTGTATCGGTTGTGAAGACAGACATTCAAATTCAATTTAACCAAATATATTTCAACACTGCATGCATTATAACTATAAGACAGAACTTTTACGCGCCACTTTATTTAACATTTTATGTAATAATTGCATTTTTATTTACTTATTTATTATGTTCATGTTTGAAAGGTTCGACACACGTCCATGCTTTGGTCATCAGTTGCGCGCACTTTAAAGCCACTCATGGGACTATGAAATATGTTTGATCAGCTTTCTTCCTCGATAGTAAAATGTAAAAGTGTGTGCTAAACACTTCATATTTACCAAGACCAATGTCATATCGGCTACCTTGTTACCAGGCTGAACAAGAGCATGTGCTACCCTTCAGCACACCTATGCTGTGGTCGCATGACATGGTTCTAGTTGTCACATAAGCCACGTATTTCCATCGCACAGGTGTGTGCTGTGATCGGTATACAGATGGTTCATGTGACCACCTGTCATACATCTACCCTCAGCCTTACCCTCTGTTAACCTTTGTGGTTGTCCCGTTTGTATTCAAAAAGTAAAACACGCCTGGCGAAGGGGTAGGACATTTGTTC